AAAAAAAAAAAAAAAAAAAAAATTAGTCGGGCATGATGGTGCATGCCTGTAGTCCCAGCTACTCAAATGGCTGATGTAGGAGGATCAGCTGAGCCTAGGAGGCTGAGGCTGCAGTAAACCATGACTGCCCCACTGCTCCATAGTCTGGGCAACAGAGTGAGACTCGGTTTCTATTGCCATCCCACAACCTGCCAAAACAAACAAACAAAAACAAAAAAAAAACCCAGCAGAAACTCAAGCTCCATCTCAGATCTACTGAACTTTAGCAAAATGATTGATATGCATATTAAAGTCTGAGAAGCAATGACAGAGGTTCCAAATTTTTTTCTAGTCAGATATTTAAATGTTTTCTTTCGTGATGCCTTTGCTAATTTCTCACATCTCCACAAAGTGTTGGATGGCTTCTTTTATCTAGCTACACTTACTCCCTAGGTGATCTCATCCAAGCTTCTATCTTCATATGCCTACTGATGAAGCCCAAAATTTAAAATCCAGCTCTACCTTTTCCTCTCAATACCAGATCCCCAACTGCCTGTTGAATATGTCTACTAGTATACCTAATAGGCATTTCAAACTTAATATGTGCAAAGACTAACTTCTGATCTCCCCCACTACCCCACAAAATTCGTTTTTCCTATAATCTCTTTACCTCAGAAAATGACAAGCTCCACTCACTGAGTAAACCAAAAACTTCAGCATCATCCTTGACTCTTTTCTCACATCTGACAATCCATCTCAATCCATCTCCAAATCAAAATATATGTAGATACAGTCACCACCTCTACCATTACCACCTGGTCTAAGCCACCTTCATTTCTCTTTTATTACTACAGTTTCTGAAATGGTCTCTCCTGTTTCATACCTAGAAATGCACAGTAGCTATTCTTCAAAAACTCTAACTGCAGGCTGTGCATGGCTCATGCCTGTAATCCCAGCACTTAGGAAGGCTGAGGCGGGAGGATAACAACATAGTAGGACCCTGTCTCTACAAAAAAAAAAAAAATTAGCCAGACATGGTGGAGTGTGCCTGTGGTCCCAGAGGCTGAGGTAGGAGGATTGCTTGAGCCTGGGAAGTTGAGGCTGCAATGAGCCATGATCACACCATCCCAGCCTAGGTAACAGAGTGAGACCCCCATCTCAAAAACAAAACTATAACTGCAGATTATATGTCATTCCCTTGCTCAAAACCCTCCACTGGCTTCCCCACTAAAAATCACCAAAGCCATGACCTGGCCCTCTGCCATTTGTCTATCTTCATTTCTTACTGTTCTTCCCGTCACTCGTCCCTCTCCAATCACACTTGGCCTCATTGAACATGCCAAGTACACTTCCAATGCAGGATTTGTGAATTTACTACTCCTTCTGCCTGGAATGCTCTTCCCCTAAGATTTCTACAAGGTTTATTATCTCACCAAGTTCATTCATCTCTTTATCCCAGTGTCACCTTATCAGTGAAGCATTCTCTTACCATCTCATTTAGAAAGGCAACTATCACCGGGCAGGTGTGGTAGCTCACGCCTGTAATCCCAGCACTTTGGGAGGCTGAGGTGGGTGGATCACCTGAGGTCGGGGGTTCAAGACCAGCCTGACCAACATGGAGAAATCCCGTCTCTACTAAAAATACAAAACTAGCCGGGTGTGGTGGTGCATGCCTGTAATCCCAGCTACTAGGGAGGCTGAGGCAGGAGAATCCCTTGAACCTGGGAGGTGGAGGTTGCAGTAAGCCGAGATTCCGCCATTGCACTCCAGCCCGGGCAACAAGAGCAAACTCTGTCTCCAAAAAAAAAAAAAAAAAAGATAGGCAACTATCCCTCCCATTCCTTAGAGGAACAGAATCAGTTTCTATATCCTTTGTTAATTTTATTTGTTCTATAGCATATGTGACCACCTTATTATATATATATTTTACTTTATTTTGTTATTGGTGTGCATCTTCCCCACTCCCCAAAAGAATAAAGTCCAGGAGGGCATCGGTTTTTGTCTTATTTTTTTTCTGATTTATCCCTAGGACCTGGAACAGTGCCTAGCATATAATAAGCACTCAAACATTATTTGTTTAAAAAATGAATATTTTATTTATTTTTGAAACAAGGTCTCTGTCTCCCAGGCTGGAGTGCAGTGGCACAATCTTGGTTCACTGCAGCCTCAGCTTCCTTGGCATCGATCCTCCCACCTCAGACTCCCAAGTAGTTGAGACTACAGGTGCGCATGACACCTGGCTAATTTTTGTATTTTTAGTAGAGATGGAGTTTTGTCACATTGCCCAGGCTCGATCTTTCCTTAGAGCATCCCTCTATGATATGTTCACTGACCAACTGGGCAAAACTGTTTTCTAAGTCATAATTTGATAACATAAAGTTGATTATGTTTTCCATGTCTACTAGCTACTTTAAGATCAGAAACGTTTTATTCTTTTTTTGTCCCCTCATGACTTATTTTGGTGTCTTAGTCATAATAGGTACTCAAACCTGAAGATTTAAGTTGTTTTCAGAATACAGTAATAGAGAGAAAACAAGTCATCCTAGTTCAGTGACTCTTTCTTAGGTCCAGTAAATTCAGGACAACATTACCCACACTCCCTTTTTTTTTAATGTTCCATAAAAACTCATATGCAGTTAGCATAAAGATCTATTTTTCCCAAGGGATGGGAGAAAGCGGGGGGAAAATAACACAGAGGGGAAATAAAGAGAATGGGTTGATTAGAATAAAATTTTATTGCTGGGGTATAGAAAATGTTAAGATTGGGCCAAGCATGGTGGCTCATGCCTGTAATTCTAGCACTTTGGGAAGCCGAGGCGGGTGAATCACTAGAGGTCAGGAGTTTGAGACTAGTCTGGCCAACATGGTGAAACTAAAAATACAAAAAATTAGCCAGGCATGGTGTCAGATGCCTGTAACCCCAGCTGAGGCAGTAGAACTGCCTGAACCCAGGAGCAGAGGTTGCAGTGAGCCGAGACTGTGCCACTGCACTCCAGCCTGAGTGACAAGAGCAAGACTCTGTCTCAAAAAAACAAAAACAAAAAACAATAACAAAAAAGATAAAATTGGTTAGGTATAGTGGGGCCAGACCATGAGCGTCTGGAAGTCAGGTTTCTTATGTCCCCAAAGAATAATTTTATATTTGAAGAATAAACAAAAGTCACAATGACCCTTGTTGGAA